ACTAATAAAATATTAACAATTAATCTTTATCGATAAAAAAAAATACAACCATTAAAAACCCTAATGCATCGCATGGTTGATATTTGTGATGTAATTGGCGATGAGATAGCCACGCTGACTCCTATTTATATCCCACGAGAAAGAAGAAGATCATAAATTTTTGTTAAATTATTTTCATCACCTTTTCACGTAGATTTTATGTTTTTATAAAAATTAAATTCCTCTCTCTCTCTTTATTCTAAATATAAAGACGAAAAATAATAATTTCATTTAGATGCCAATCTTGCACTTGAGCTTTCTTCCTTATAGTTAAAGTCAATTTGTAATAATGACTGTTTGATACTCCATCTCTTTCCCTTCCCTTCACCTTTCTCTTTAGTTTTCTAAAATTTCTTTATACCCTTTTCTACCAAACTTTACTGTGTATCTGTAATCTATAAATGTTTTCAATTTCCTCTCCCTCCTCGCACAAAAACCATTTTTACATTTTCGAGATATGAGATTTTAAGTGCGTGAAAATTTTAAACAAAATTATTAGTTATACAAATAGAAAATAACACGTAAAAATCGATATGCTAATGACGGATATTGAAATAGTTAAGGTAACTTGTTAAGATATAGTTCATTTTGAAATTCAGATGTTCTGTTATAATTTTGTCTTTGAAAATATCCCGATCATGGAAAGTAATATTTCAACTTAATTATACTTTTCAGTTTTGATTATATTGAAAGTAACGAAATATAGTATTTATTTTTATTATGCATCACAAGTCTATATAATACTACCACTTTCATATTGTGAGGAACAAGATCCCTTGTTTTTAGGGTTCTATTTCATCTTCAATCCCCCGACAAAATGCCTTCATTCAATGACACGTTGATCGAACAAAACTACATGAGCTTAGAGTTTGTTAATTTAATCAAATTATTCTCACTACATACAAAACACGTATTTTTTTTTCTATATTTTTTTTCTTCATAATTGAAAGTTTCCAACTATTAACTGATAAAATACACTTAATTAGACAATATTAGTAAATATAACAAGGTTTTAACTAAAAATCAAATAATTGTAATTGAAACTTAAAGCCCTGAATTACATATTTGTATCACAGAAACTAAAATTATAATAAAAAAGTATTATGAATTATCCATAGCCTCTATTTGTACAGAAGAATGAGAAATATATATGTGGTGGTATGAGACATATATTTTTGCCCTTAAACTCGAGTGTTTCCATCTCTCTAACAAGTAGCACAAAAAAATGATAGTGAGATTCTTTCACCCCAAGAAAATGAGACTGAGATGAGATATGTGTGTGAAAAGGAAGGAATTAAGTGGAAAAGCAATGCGCAGTATTTGAGTAATGGTGGTGTGAATTGGGTTATGTGATTGATAATGAATGAGATTGAGATTTGGTGCAATGAATAAGTGCTGGAATTGAATTACATTATGTTATTAATTATGTCTTGTAATATGAAGGGATTGGAAATAAGTGACATGTGCATGTGCTAATGTTGCTTTTAACGTTAATGGGCCTTCATTAAGTGGTCTACATTAGGGGTCTTCTCGAATAGACACTTCTAAGTGGCATAATTTATTAGTACTCACAGGAACATGGGTTGCTTCCTCGAATAAAACGTCATTTTTTTAGATATCTTCATCTTTTACATGTTAACATCATCAAAAACCAGACCCTAGCTTATGTAAAAAACAGGAGATATTATTTTCAGTTATTACTTTTCACACAAATCTTTCTATTATTAATCTGTTTGCAAATAAAATAAAATGAAAATGATTAGTGATAATAATAATGAGGGCTAATTAGCAGAATGTGTTATGGCATTATCCCAAGGTGATGGTTGATATTTCTTGTCAATTGGTTGTCATGGCTTGGGAACGAATGGATTAAAAGAAAGTGAAATGAGGCAAATGGTGGCACCTGTCATTCATTAGTTTTCAATGACACATAAATGATGCCTCTTACGATTTCAAGTAATATGTTGATTAGAATCTAAAAAAGAGTTTAATTAATTGTGTTTGTGACCTCCCTCTACTTAAAACCAGTCCCATCACTACCTAAACACCATCATCTTTTTTTGTTCTCCTTTCTTCCGTCTTAATAACTTCAATAATTTCTTAAACTCCCCATTTTTATATTACTTTTTTTCTTTAAATATCTCAATTCTTATTACCATTTTTATGTATCATATCTATGTAGACTTTTCTAATGTGATGCTTCTTCGTAAAGACTTTTAAAATAGTTTCGGAGTTTACTTTAATAACATATACTTTATTTTAGAGGTTGACGTTTAGAGGAAACACACGTTTAACTAATCAAAGATTATTTGGTTAATTAGCTTATGAGATCAACTCATAACAAAACCAACAAAAGTAATTTGGCTTTAGTTACACAAGGATTACAAGATAGAGATTGTTTGTGTTTGTATTTTCACTCATTTGGCATGATCAGGGTGGATGTGAGTTACGTGAGATAAAAGTTTTAGATTTTAAATTTAATAAAAACTTTTTTTTAATTTAATCAGGACAAAAATATTTTGAACTTTATTTTAAACTGAAAAAAAAATTATTTTTATCAATTTTTCGTTTCTGACTTTTCATCACACCATTCAAACAAAATATGAGGTGGAGTGAATAATATAATTTTTTAAAACAAATGTTTGCCTTATTTAAAATTTTGAAAACAACAATCTTTTCTTTTATCTGTGCAGCAACTAAATACAAAATTATTTCCTTTTAAAAATATATTGTCATGAGGTTTGAAAACTATATATATATATATATATATATATATATTACATATCTCACATATCTCACATGCGATATACCCACAAATACACATATAAAAATTACATTTTTAACAACTAATTTAACCATATCATTTTACTCATAACTACTTTCTCTATCCTCAAAAGCACTGTACGTAATATCCTTTTCATAGATAAATCTTCCATGTTTTCGTACATATTAGTTATACATCTCAGCTTTATACCATATATGCACATTCACTTAATAAATTATGCTCACTGCAGCTTTATATCATTACGGGGTTGGATGAGCAGTATGTCATGAGGATTTTTTCCAATGGCTTATGGGAAGATATCAGACCAGAACTGAGGTTGTACAAAACTAACAATCTCTCGAAAATCATGAACAAATTTATCACTATTGAAGGGAAGAATATAGCTATAGTAAAGGCAGTAGGGAATTTTGGAGACAGGAGGGGGTAGGAGTTTTCTTATTCAAAAAGGAAAAAAAGGAATGGAGAACAGCACCTCCAAGATCAATGGTACCAGTGAATTTAGCACATGGACAAAAACCAAATTCTTTTTCTCAATCAACTAGCATTCAAATATTCTTTTAACAAAGTCACTTCTAATCTAATCAAAATATTCTTTTAACAAGTCACTTCTAATCTAATCAAATATACCTTTTACAAACCATTTATAACTTAACTGGACATTTTTTTCAACAAATCACTTTTAATTTAACCAAATATTCTTGATTTAACCAATTATTCTTTCAACCAATATTCTTCCAACAAATATTTATAACTTAATAAATATTCTTTGCCAAATATCTACCATTGGCTAAGATAAATTGATTATATAAATATTGATCAACATGTCATATAAATCCTCGGTAGAGGGAAATATTATCTTTTTGCTTCTAGTTTGCTAAATGAACACTGTCAACATATAAATCTTTCATCCTCTCTCTTCTACTTTGCTAAATGAAATCGAACACTTCTACTTTGCTAAATGAAAACGAACAATATTCTTTATAAAGAATATAAGGCTGCATAAAGTTTGGGAACGTTTTTGTACAATGCAACCTAGTCTTTTTTTTCTTTTTTTCAACACTAAGCCAATATATTAATTATTTCATGCATGTCACCTACCATACTAAGCCAACATATGGTCAAGTAAAATACTAAAGTTTGATAAGCTTTTGAGGAAGGCTGCTTGAGGTAGATGGTTTACAATGTTAAGCATGGGAAAGTAGTCTTAGATGGAAACTTAGATTTCAAGAAAATATTAAGCATTTATTTTGCCCCTCTTGCAATATAAAACGACCTTGTGCAAAATACAGTTTCCCCCAACAAGTTCATGATAATTTTCAATTTCTTTTCGAAGAAAAGGTTAATAAAAATGGATTTTCACATTTTTCTATCAAGATTTTTTTTTTCTGTTTTTAGTCCATAATTTTTTGCCCAACAAAGTGAAGGTTTTCTTAGGGGTCGTATATAAATTAGAACTGAATTGAACTTGGCTTTGGTAATAATATACCTATATATTTTCACTACTCTTTTAATTAAAAATGGCCTTAGTGTAGCCTAAGCATCAAAATGCAGTTACAAGACCTATACCGAGTTCTTCTGCAAGCTCATCTCCAACAGGAACAAGAGTCAAGACACAAGAAAAATAGCAACTGCTACAAGTGCCTTTCTCCATGTTCCAGCTTCTGTCACATCATTCAAACATGGTTTCTCCGGTGCCCTCTGAAAAAAAATTACAAATAAGTAAAAATCAGATATAATTGCAAAAAAACAATTAACTACAGTTTCATCATTCCTTCATATTCAAGACAAGTATTTGCATACCTGACATAACAAAACATAAAGCCCCCAAGGAAGTGAAAGAGGTCCACCAAGCTGTTAAGGTGTAAAAGAAAACAAAAGTGCAATTTACTTTTAATAATGGAAAAAAAAATCCTATAATAATCAAGAAAAATGAGGAACTAAGGACACCGACTGTTTTTAGAGCACATTTGTCCTGTTTCCTTTTGGGGAGTAAGTAAACTAGAAAATGCGGAAAAGGCTGGTAACTACGTGTGCAATCATGTAATTGTTGAACTTTTAACAATTTTATTGAACAGTCATACGTTTGATTTGTTTAATCTAAAAGAAAGATCAGACTCACCACTCCTAGTCCAAGCAATGTATAAGTGGTTAAACCAAAGCCAACTAGCGCATTTTTTCCAAAGGCACCCTGCAAAAACATGCAGCAGAATTAGCATATGCTTCTTACGATACTAAGAACCTAAATTATAATGCTCAGCCCATCACATTAGATGGTTCAGAAAAACTAGAAAATAAAATGTTTTTCATGTGCAAGAAATCTTAAGATACCTAATCATATGAATGAGAGGATACTCATGTGTGAGTTCTATTCACATCTTCCAATAAATATATATATATATATATATATATA